TGCAAAAAATGTCATACAAAAGAAATTAAAGGCAGAGCTTCATTGGAGTTGTCGATGCAGTAAGTCTCCTGGGAAAAGGTTGGATTTATTTCCGGAGCATTTTAACGCTTTGTACTGGTGCCTGATGTTATTCAGGCATGAACAAACGATTCAGAAAATTCAGTTGGAGGAATTGGTTGTGTCGAAAACAATGTATCAAGATTAAGGCCATGAAACCTGTATTGCTCTTTGGGTGTACACAAAAATTAAGCTTTTGCGCTTTGTGTGTACACATCAGTAAACTGGATACTTTACAGCCTCTCATAAGAAGGTCGGACCAAGAGTTATTACAAGATGACATGATGTTTAACATTTGCACATTTGCCGTTAATTTGGGATGCTCAGTAACAAAGTTGTCTCAATTCGTACACAAAACTTCGGTTCCAGACTGGCGTCTACACAACTTTGACATAGAAGTATTCTCAGCTGACCCAGTTGTTGACCCTGGAGCAAACGGTCAGCTGTGCTTTTCCTTCTTTGGGCAATTTGGGGATTCACTAACTGAAACCCTTAGATGTATGTATCCGGTTGAGGGGCGATATGTCCGGATAAAGAAGAGGCAACATCTGAATAGTGAGGACAGGCTGATCTTGTGTGAAGTGGCAGTCCACCCAAAGATATATGGTCAGTGAATCAATGTTCAGGAAGAAAACCTTGGTATTTGGTCACATCAAACGTTGTACGGTTAATGGAACATCGTCATGTAATTGTTTCCTAAATACGTTTCCCTTCACTGTTTATCAGAGGCCAATTAATCAACGGAAGTTTATATACAGAAGGAAAATGATCCTATTTGATTCATTAAATGGTATTGACAATCTGATAATCAATCAATTTAGACGTTGTAATTTATAAAAGCAAAACAAGGAAAAAATATCTTGGAATACAGCTAGGAAAGACAACAATTGTGAAATTAGATTTTACAAAATTAAAAACTGCTCAGTTTTTCGACGATTGTAAAGAACAGAACTTACATTTTCTAAAAAAATATATATGTCGAATATTCAATTTGACCTCGTTTTCGGTCTGAACAACACTGTAGAAGACATAGGTTTTGTACAAGAGATAATATGGGTAGATAGTGTGTGTGGTCACAGATCACGTCATCAATGAATCACAACTACCTGTACGATTATACGAACTGTTTGTTTGATACTTTCAGAAAACAACTGCAGTTTCAGTCAGAGGTACCCTTCCACCTTTGTGCCCTACACGGACAAGTACCTCACGACCAGACCCAGGCATGAAATCGTCGGAAGCTTGAACACCTGCATGATTGAATGTACAACTATGTGGGCATGTGATGGCTTCAACTTCAATATCCTGGACAGCAGCAGTGGAAATGGAACCTGTGAGTTTGTGTCTGTGTCACTGGCAAATCTTTACTCCAAATCTGGATGGACATATTACAAGGCCATTTGTTCTTAAACTCGGGCATAGCACCTGTAGGAATTGATGCATGAGGAAGGCTGCTCTTGCATAACATGTCCCTTTGGCGAGGTGCCTCACCATTGCTGTTTAGATATAGCTGCTCAGGCGTACAAGTGGAGTGTGTACCGTCACAAAACAAACTGAGGTGATCATCGTAACGAGCTGCTCTTGTTTTAAACTAACATGACATTTTGGCTTTTCCTTATTATCATGTCCCTTTGGCGGGGTGACTGACTATTACTGTTCAGATATAACCGTGCAGGCATACAAGTGGACTATGTATCATCGTCACTGTGAGAAAACAAACTGAGGTGCCCATCTTGACCAACATAAAACGAGGATGCGAATATTGAAAAAAAGAAAAGAATTATATACGTATTTCAGTTACTTTCTTGCTTGTTTGTTGCTTATTTTGTCCAGCTACATGACCCTTCAGAAATAAATGACTCCAGCCCCCAATTGCCAGTCACTGACATGAGAAATGTTCATCCACGGTCATAGTGTGAGGCCTATTGTGCCCATGCAACTAGCCTGACTTAGGAGGAGCCCGACATGCTGTCAACGTTAGTTTTGTGATTACCGGATATAGGTGGCGCATGAAGCCGTGTGCTACATTCTTGATCGTTGGTTCAACTCTAGGATTAGCCTTGATTTACGTGGACTTACTGGAGTTGTCTTACCCCATGTGACTCGATGCAGAACATTTAGCCATTACACATCACACTATGATGGTGTGCCGTTTCTTAAATACATTAATAGCTGGCTTCACGGAGAGATTGCATTTTCGAAATGAGGTGGAATTATAATTGCCAGTATGTGGAGTACATTGATACCTGCAATAATCGGCGATGTTTCTCGGACTATGATCTGTCACACACCCAGGCTCAACTGGAACTTGGACCTGCATGTCATCTTATATAAATTACTGGATAAATTCCGGGGTAGAATCGATCTTTGGCAACCCATCTGGCATTTACTGAAGTCATGGCAGAATGCATAATGGACTTTGTTTTAATGCTTTAGTTAAAGCATGAAGACTGAATATATCATTGCTCACTGCTCACTGCTCAATAATATTAATGTTGTGTCACTAATGGATTTGGTCATATTCTCGATCATCTGGTGTACAGTACTACATAATATACCTCTTCGATAAATCTTTTCTAACTCGACAAAATTTCTTCTTTTCTCGATTTGCTGTGTTAGTTGAGACCCTTGGAGATCCGGGTTAGAATTGATCTTCAGCAACCCATGGTTGTCGTAGATCCGACTAACGGGATTGGATACAACAGTAAATGTACTTGAGAGCCAGCACGACGAAATATAATCTTCATATCAACCGGCGCTTAGCCCACACTCTTGATAGGAATCATTCAAAAATAATAATGAACAATATCGTCGAACCCCTCGTTATCAGAAAAGGAAATTACATTTAATTTATACATGATATTGATCAGGTCAACCTTTCATTCCGTGCAATTTAATTATAAGTTACGACAGAAAGTACATAATTCATTTCAGTGACTTCAGTGACGGAAAACGTGTATTGTATTGCGCAAATTGTATTGTGGAACGCGGCAACGATTGCATAGAGAAATAATGTTATGCCATTGTATCCCAAATAACAAACTATCAGTGAATAATATTAACATCCAAGGGCCAAGAAAGGGTGCTATAAAATTCGAAAACAATCTCGTTCTGGTGTAATATAGCCAACCGATGTGATGGTCGTTGTGAAGTAGATACAACTATACAAAGTATTACCCGCTGCCATAACAACACGTATTTGCCCAACGCTGTACTGAGGCTCCATACAGTGACACTGGCTTCGGTCGACGTAAATTCTAATAGTATTGCGGTGCGAGTGATGCGGAGAGTTTGTATGTAAACATGAGTTATCTGGCGTTCATGATTGTCGTTGTGAAGTAGATACCTCTATTATTGTTCACCATTTCAGAACCCGTGAAGGTCCGGGTTAGAATATATCTTCAGTAACCCATGCTTGTCGTAAGAGGCGACTAACGGGATCGGGTGGTCAGGCTCGCTGACTTGGTTGACACATGTCATCGGATCCCAGTGGCGCAGATTGATGCTCATGTTGTTGATCACTGGATTGTCTGGTCCAGACTCGATTATTTACAGACTGCCGCCAAATAGCTGGAATATTGCTGAGTGCGGCGTAAAACTCACTCACTCACCATTTCAGAAATGTGTGATTCTATCGAACCCGATGTGGCAGGTATATTACCGAACCATTGGAATACATATTTTTATAACTTTCGTCCTAATTTAATCATTTGCTTTTAAGAAGAAATTAAACTGATTGATAAATTTTGACATTGGCGGTGTTCAATTTGTAACAGAGATGGTTAGTTGCAGTGTCCTTGAGGAGATTATAGTCGTGTAAAATTATGTTCCCCTGAGAACATATGTAAAACCACATAATTAAAATTCTGTGAAGGAAGCAGAAGTACTTTAAGTTAAGTATTTTGTGAAACAGAAACAGTAACATAGCGGATAGAACGTTTTTACTAGATAGAGATGGAAACTGCAAATTCGCCACTGGGATTAATACGGGTAACCAGTGTTTGTCCCTCTGCGCAAATGTCAATGATGGGGCTGATTCCGGTGTGCTAGCTTCCGCCCCGTACTTTTAATCGCATTACGAGGATTTCCTGCTTTTTGGCTCACTCATAGTCCGCATGCAAATTGCAATGCTGTTGCTGAAACGCAATTGATTCAATTATTTATTGCCTATCCTCGACGAAGGTTTGAAATGTACTTTGCACCAATAATAATGTATTGTAATTACATCCCTGTCGTGCTTCTTATTTTTGAGGAATTACCAGTTACCACACATTCACTTGTATATTCACTTTCTGTGGAAGTAATACTATTTTCTCAGTGTCCAGGAAAACAAATCACCATTTGTAGCATATTCGGCAGTGTCACAACGCGAGATGAATAACACATTACCTCCCATCTTAGGTAATTGTTTACCTATTTTGCACCAATAATAATGTATTGTAATTAAATCTCGGTCGTGCTTGTTAATTTTGAAGAATTGCCAACAGCATGTGAGCAAAATAACTGTTCTGCAACGTCACATCAACTTCTTGCTTTGGCAAACAAACAGGTGAAGACATAAAGGATTGTCTCAAGTTCCCTTTAAAGATTCGTCCCTTGCGTTTACATTTCCCAGGTTCCATCAGGAGAGTAGTTAATAGAAGCACGAACATCCATTCCGACACTGAGTACATATTTAATGACTGCTAATTCCCTTGACGTCTTCTGCAAAACATTCTGATATGGCTTGGTTCAGTTCTATGCAAACTGTGCTTATCACCAGGGAAATGTTTACGCACGTCTTTTTAACACTCAAACGAACAAGAAGAAGAACAATATTGATCATGTACTTCATGTATCTACATATGAAAGGAAAGACTGACAGAGAAAGAAAATAATGCAAAATGGCAACAATACATCAATACAAAGATTGTGTTACTGCTGGAAACTGAGTCAATACAAAACACACGATCCTTATCAGTGAGCGGTGCAGATCGGCTCAAGGATGCTTGTTCCAGTAACGTTGTGCTGTGAACTATTGGGATTCATCCTTCACTATTTTCCTTCTGTCGGTGGTAAGTCCTTTAGTTACCTTTGTACGTGCAATTATATTTCGTTAAGGAACGTGTTTGGTTGACTGCTTAAATACCGTTTCCCTATGTAGTAATCCATTACACCATTTAACATCAAACCTTTGGAGGGTATTTAGAAGCGGAATGCATAAGAAAACAAGATTTATGAATGTCAATTTCTTTATTGGTAACAACACGATGTTTCGGAGTGTATGCTTGCTCCTTCATCAGGTAATGTCCAAGGAGCAAGCATACACCCAAAACGTCGTTTTATTCACAATAAAGAAGTTGACATCCATAAATTTTGCTTTTCTTACAATTTAAAATGTTTGTAACATCAACAAACGATACAGAGAATATCATCACATCGTGAAAACGGATACATGCGACATGTTTAGGTCTGTAGGCTAATACTGATACAAATTCATCAAATAAACATTACCTAGCATTGTCTTGTTCTTCCTTTGGGTAGTCCGTAGGTTTCCTCAGTACATTGATATTAGCATTTTGTATCGAAGTCATTTTTACTATGCCTGTGATATCCCTTCATAGTTGGAAAAATACAACTCTGATATCCAACTTGACGACTATAAAGCAGATTGGTGATATCACATATCGTTACACCGTGAAAACGGATTCATGCAACACGACCGTAACTCTCTTATGTGTACACTACTAACCAAACAGAATCATGTTGAGACCTTGTCAATAAGTTTTCTGAAAGCATGATTTTTCCAAACATTCTTCTTGAATCTTCTTGAATGCATGTGTCTATTTGATACTCCATGTACTCGAGTGAGGTAATCTATTAGTCTGAACTTCATATGTATTCCATTCATTCACCAACTTTGATGAAAAATTATTTGATAAATATTGTCAGTTGGGTTGACAGGAAGATTAGTCTCATACTTGGGACATTCAGTATTGGCAGGAAATACTAGTCTTATGTTTCGGACATTCGGTATTGAAATTAAGTACTGGGCTAAAATCAAATTGATTCAGAGTTGGCTGGGAGTAATAGTTGGCTGATGTCTCTTTTATTCAGCACATTGCCTTGACAACGTTGCCCTTGGGAAACCTGCTGTCCAGAATTCTATTGGGTTCTCCGCTGGCCCGGGGCGAGCCGTGGACGGAAATGGAGATCTTATCTTTGAAGGTTCATCTTGTTCGTACACACCCAGTTCCACTGGTGACCCACTGCCGTGGTGGCGGGTGGATCTGCAAAAGGTCGTTAACGTTGAGGCGGTCACCATCGCTAACAGAAGATCCAGCGAATATCGTAAATATTGATAATTCACATCTGTTGAACACCTTCACAATCTTTTCATGTCTACATTCAACAAAGAGTTCGTATATTTCATCATTAATTAAATGTTAGATTGTTATAGTCATTATAGTCGTTGTGGTGTTGTGAGTTGTGCTGTGCCGGGATATAACTGACATACTGGTTAATATACAGGAGTTACATGTCCATCACAATCACTGGTCATTCATAGAGGCCCTGAAACAAATATATCAGAGAAAGCCAGTGCCAGTCAAGAATAAGTGGCATGTCTAGATTACCTCGCTTTCCCTCAAAAAGATCTCTGATCACCCTTTCATAATATTTTATGATTTCAGAACCGTTTTTTATGTAATATGTGTGTATTTCAGACACTAGATGGGAGTGTACCTACTCTCTCTTCACAGTTTTCACATACAAAAATCAATAGTAGTGTATGGTTATTTCTTTATATACTGGTACTCTTGAAGAAATAAAAGTTCACTTTTGCTGATAGTTTAAAGTCTGAAATTTCAAGACAAGAATTGGTCTCCGACGCACATATACGTACTCAAATGCTGAACTGTTGCCTTATGCTATTCAGGCAAGAACAAACGATTCAGAAAATTGAAAGAATTGGTTGTGTCCAAAACAGTGTATCAAGATTAAGGCCATGAAACCGTCTGTATTGCTATTGGGCTGTGCACAAATATTAAGCTTTTCTGCTTTGTGCGTACACATCAATAGGTAAAGTGATTACTATTTTGTTTGTATAATATGAAACAATTCGCTTCATCATTCGCCTATTTCGACAGCCTCCCATAAGAAGGTCGAACCAAGAGTTATTACTGAAGACAGGATGTTTAACTTTTGCCGTTAATTTGTGAGGCTCAGTATCATAGTTGTCTCATTTTCACAAAACTTTGGTTCCAGACTGGCGTCTACACAACTTTGACATAGAAGTATTCTCAGCTGACCCAGTTGTTGACCCTGGAGCAAACGGTCAGCTGTGCTTTTCCTTCTTTGGGCAATTTGGGGATTCACTTACTGAAACCCTTAGATGCATGTATCCGGTTGAGGGGCGATATGTCCGGATAAAGAAGAGGCAACATCTGAATAGTCAGGACAGGCTGACCTTGTGTGAAGTTGCAGTCCACCCAAAGATATATGGTCAGTGAATCAATGTTCAGGAAAAACCTTGGTATTTGGTCAGATCAAACATTGTACGGTTAATGGAACGTCGTCATGTAATTGTTTCCAAAATATGTTGCCCTTCACTGTTTATCATAGGCAAATTCAACAACGGAAGTTCACATACAGAAGGAAAATGATCCTAATTGATTCATTTAGATGGCCTGTTAACGTTGTCAACCTGATAACCGTTCGATTTAGATCTTATCATTGATTAAAGGAGAATACGAACGAAAACAAAACTATTGATTTTTGTAAAGGATATTCTTAAAGTCACATTCCGTGATTAAAATTGAACAAAAAGTTTGTAAAATAGCAATAAAAACACAAAAACGTACTCGTATTTCCGCATATTACGGAAACACCAGACAGTTAATGAGCAGAGGGGGTATCATGTGACATGACGTCATAAGTGCCTGTTGCTGATGGCTTTCTCTTTGATTTTACCTCGCAACTTAACAGTGTCCGTGGATTCTGAAGCAGTAAAAGCTGTTCCTGGTGTCATTTCGGAAATGGATGTTAGACCGTATCAGTACGATCCGATTTTACATCTTGCAAAACAATCTTCCACTGAAGATGAAGAAGAAGAATCAAGCGAAACGGAGGCACCGCTTGAGGTCAAAATAAATATAAAAATAGACCATATCATTTAACAAGATTACTATTTGTCAGCAAAATGTCATTCAGTTCCAGCCAGCAAACTCACCCCTATAAATATATGACCAGTCACTAAGAATTATTTTTAAAAAATGGGTGACTGTATAGGGTGTCTGGGATTTAAAAAAAAATAAATTATGCTTCAGGCGAGGGAAAATAAATATTATCTGCTTAAAAAATTACACTGGAATTATTTTGTTGAAAAAAATTAGGATCCTATTTCTCATTAATAACGTATCAAGTCTCGATACAAGATCCCAGCCTGGTCGAGCAGAGATAATATTTGCGACGCAGATAAGTTATTCCCCGAAAACTGGTGAATTATTAAATACTAGTCAGGACAACGTATGTTTCTCCATTGTTTGGTTATGGAAATAGTTATGGTACTCGGTCATAGCCTCAGAATGACATCTTGTCAGCCAATGAGAATACAGAACAACTTTCAAGGCACACACTACTGACAAATAGCGAGTCTGATGCCGACGTGCGTAATTGGACAAAATGGGAAAATATGAAAGCAGCAAGTACTTCATGATTTGCCGTTGTATTCGGCAATGTTTCGAGCTGACTGCATCATTTAGGGCTCCAAACCGAAAAGAACGTTATAGCGAAACATTTTCAAGCTCATGTGAAATCTCTTACTGATTTTGATAATATATATCTCATGTGTACCAGTCGAACTGCACCAGCTACAAATTGCCCCAGCAAATTTGGTCATTCATTCTAATTTGTTCAAATTTATTTATAGTGATTGAATATAGGCCGTAAATGCATAGTTTTTGTCAACTTATTATGATATTATGTTCTTCATATAAAAGTTATTAGGAAGTATTATTTCTGATAAATGTTTCATTAGTAAACTCACAACTATGTATATACATTTATATGAAGAACATAATATCAAAGTTGACAAAACTATGCATTTATGGCCTATATTTATTCATTTTATATAAATTGGGGCATTTTGACTACCCCACTGGGGCATATTGACCAAATTTGCTGGGTCATTTCGTAGCGGGGGCAATTCGACTCGACTGGCAACCGGACTTGATATAATTTATGTTAAAAATACCACTGACAGTATGTTGTTACAGGGAATGATGGAGTATAAATGAATCTCATGGATACTTTTACCTTCTTCTGCCTAGCTTGGGGATTTCCATACCCCATGCGTGCATGTCTCTTTCATATGCGTCCTACTCGGAATGATCGGCGCATTTCTCCCGCCGAAATCTGTCATTTCACTTGGAAAACGGAAGAAATGGTGGTTCTTTCCCATGTTCGATGATGCCGTGCATCCCCAGGCAACGCAATACACCATCGTACCATTTAAAAGAACGACAGAAACAACACGATTTGTACTAATGTAGCGCTTGGTCTTTGGCAATATGGCGGATTTCAGGCACATTTGACGTCACGCGCGGAAAAGTCACGTGGGTTCCAGTGAAATATGCATAATGGCCGAAGCTGAGATTTGGAGAAACTGTTTTCGCGATTAAAACATAATTACACATAATTTGTAATTGAAAATTTGGGAATATGTTTCTGATGACTTTATCTTTCACCAAGCAAATTATTGCAATTCACTCGTATTCTCCTTTAAACCAAACGTCATTGATAAGGAAATAAAATATATTTGAATGCAGCTTGAAAAGACAATATTTGTGAAATTCGACTTTAGAAAAGAAATGAATAAAACAACATTGTCTGAGAACTGCTCACGTTTTCGACGATTGTAGAGATCAGAACTTATAGTTTCCAAAACATATATACTAGCCACATAAAGAAACTGTGCATTGTCAAAATATTATCCCAGTTGATAAGTACGATAACAATGTCAAAGGTACATATAAACTTTAATGGAGGGATCATGAGACCATAACAAGTCGGGAGAATTTCAATTGAAAAGTCAATCACAATGACGTCACGAGTCCACAAGCAGGACAGGGGTCACACGACCATGTCACAAGCTCAATAACGGGTATGTCCACCATCGGCATTTAGAACAGCAGTGCATCGACGACGCGTAGAGCCTATCAAACGTGCAAGGAAGCCTTGTGGGATGTCACGCCAGATTCTCTCAAGTTCTGTTGCAAGGTCAAGGACGTCATCTGGCGGATGAGGAAGACGACGTAGACGTCGATCCATCTCGTCCCATCTCGCAAAGATGGGTCACCCTTATCCATCTGTCCTGTCTTGGCGTTGTTACACGTGGACGTCCAGAACGTGGCCGATCGATGACGTCATTTGTGTTCTGGTAGCGTCTCACCAGTGAAGAAATGGTGTTCCGGTGGCAATGGAAATGTGCAGCCACTTGTCATTGAGACATTCCCCCACGGACCATCCCAATGGCCTCATGACGTTGTGCAGACGTGAGCCTTGGCATGCTATGCGTTTCAATAGCCGTTTAATTTTTTTGAACGATCGCAAGGGCAGGGGTTGAGCTTTCCAAAGTGACAGTATTGTGTGGCATTCATTTGCTCTGTTTCTCTTTCCCGGAATGCACGTGAAACAACGTATTGCACGTCTCAAGGACGAACCCACTGACGTCACGGAACGTGGCACGTGCATGCATGTTGGATACATGTCACTAATCTCTGAGTTTAAATCCTTATGTGTCTACACAGGTTTGATAAATTTAGATTTTAAATTTTGGTATGCACAGTTTCTTTATGTGCCTAGTATATATCGAATATTCAATTTCCGCGCATTATTTTAATTAGGTAACATACTAATTAACAACACTGTAGAGGCCACTGTATTTGTACCCGGCCGCAACGCGGAACGGGGGGACTATGAATTCAGCAGCGTCCGTCCGTACGTACGTACGTCCCGATTATTGTTAACACAATATCTCATGAACTGTTGTCCCCAGTGTGTTCAAGTTAGGTTTCTCGTGATTGAGGCTCAAGAAAACACACGATTAAAGTTGAACCCTTTTGCAATACAGAAAGGCATACAAGGCATTGCCGGTGACGTTAAAAATATCAAACGTTTACGTTCAGGTGCATTGCTCGTAGAGTGCAGCAAAAGACAACAGGCTAATAACCTGATGACTACTGAAACATTCGTCGGCATTCCAGTAACAGTATCCTCTCATAGAACACTTAAAACCAGCAAAGGAATCATCAGAGATAGAGATCGATTGTTTGCCAACATGTCTGAACTTGATATTGTTTCTGAAATGAAAGATCAAGGGGTGACATACGTTAAACGTTTTACAACACGTAAAAACCAGGAAACCATTCAGACTAATACGTACCTGTTTTCGTTTTCCTCTCCAAATGCTCCCAGATCAGTAAAGGCGGGATATTGTCACATTAATGTCGACACCTACATACCAAATCCTTTAAGATGTTTTACATGCCAGAAGTTTGGTCATGGGGTTAGTACTTGCACATTGTCTGTTGTGTGTGTTCACTGTGGTGAGAAGACACATCCAACAAAAGATTGTGACAGTGACTTTAAGAAATGTAGCAACTGTGCAGGCAATCACTCATCATTCTCCAAAAGATTGTCCGATCTGGAAACAGCAGATGGAGATCAATAAGATAAAGTTCACCCAAAACATTAGTTTTACTGATGCCAAAAAGCTTGTCTTACGATCTGAAATTAAGGAAACATATGCATCCACAGCCGTCTGATGCAACTCCTCCACTAGCCAAATCATCTGTACGCTGTCAGACGAATTTAACGTGGCTCAAAACCGATTCTCCTAAGATTTTGTCACCTGCTGTGTCTACACAAACTGCGGAATCACTTCCTGTCACGGCCAAAATCCAAGCACAACCATCTCATGATGGTGACACATTTTCTCAGTCAGCTCAAAGGACTCAATCAACGTCAAACGTTCCACAAATTGTTGAAAACAAGGCAAACCGAAGCCAGATTCTTTGAAGAAACAAAGTGGCAGAGCCCCAAGAGGGTCCGATGATAAAATCAAATTATTTAACAAATACGGATCACTTGAGGACATGGACGTGTCCGAAAACGTCCATTCTAGGGCACATAGCTTGTCGCCCTTGAAAAAGGTGCGGGGTAGATGCCCTATTAATCCACCTAAAAGATAGGTCTATCTGAACATATCGTGCAGTGGAACTGTAGAGGACTATGGACAAATTTTAATGAAATACAGCTATTAATCCAGGATTTAACACCATCAGCGTTCTGTCTGCAAGAGACGTATCTGAAACAGACAGATAATTTTAACTTACGTCAGTTTGAAGCCTATCATTATTTTTCCCCTCAAGGTTATAGAGCCACTGGAGGTTCTAATATCCTTATACGACAGGATGTTATTCACAGCCCTGTTACACTTACAC